TTATACACTACAGTCGAAATATTAATGCATATAATATATTTTTTTTTGAAACTAATTTAAAAAATTATTTATTATTTAATATAAACCAACTACCCCGTTTAAAAATATGTAAAAGTTTTGATATTAAAACAATAATTGATATACTTATTTAATCAAACCATTTATAGACTTTTTTGACCTTAGACAACTCAAAATCAACCGCTTATTATTATCTTACATAAAAAAATTTGGTTCTGTTATTTAATATGTCTTAAAAATTCATTTAATAATGATTTGCAAAAATCTATATTTTTAATTGTGAAACCAAAATAATCTGAAGTAATGTATTTCGTATTGAGCTGTACGTGTATGTATTGCGGATTGATCTTAAGTAATATATAACACTAGTGTTGGATTCACTTTAATGCCTGAATTAGCCGTTCATTAAAATAAAGGTATTGATTTGGTTTCAATAGCATTCGCTTTTCATCAGTGAATTGCTTTCCATGACGACTATGTGTCACTCAACACTCCAATCTTAAATTAAAGATATGCAATCACAATGGTACGACATTCGTCACGCCAATAACCAATCAATTCTTTATGTTACGTTCCAAGATCAGCCGGGTATACATCCTGGAGCCATTCGTCAAGTTCGACGACCAAGTACCGTTCAGCACTCCCAAAAGGGACAACATACATAGATTCATTTGGGCTACAAACACAACAACATATATTACATGGGTTGTATTGCCAGTCTTAGGCACCAAACCTCAGTTTTTTACTTCACATAGAATGCTAAGCCTATTTTTTAATTTGCTTAATTAAAAATTCATATAAAATTATTAGAAAAAAAATATATAAACAATTTTTACTGAACATTTAATTTGACAGTGATTTAATAAATCAGAGATGGAAATGCATTTAATATAATAATTAAGCAACAAATTTATTAAATTTAATATCGACAGATCTAACAAATGAAAATCATTTAAGAAAAAATCCTACACACATAAGGTAAGCACCGATTTTGAGGTAAATAGAATATTTAGAACTAAACATTTAAATCTTAAAAGTAGACATTTGCTAGTAGCGTCAAATATCGAAAGATAATCGTATAAGTACAGAATTTAGAAATCATTAACATTTGCATGGAACTCTTGCAGCTCCAACTTGTAGAAGTCTTGCAGCTACTCCCACTCTAGACGTGCTAATAACGACTAGCAGCTTTTTACTTATGCAGAGCTGCGGTTTCCATTTTGGGCTCTGGTTTTTGAGCTAATCCTGTGATCAGTTTTTTGATTTCTGCAATTGCACGTCCGGGATTCAAACCCTTTGGACAAGTACGTGTACAATTCATGATGGTGTGACATCTGAATACGCTGAAGGGATCCTTCAATTTGTCCAAACGTTCTTGTGCAGATTCATCACGTGAGTCAATAATCCAACGATATGCTTGCATAAGCACAGCTGGACCTAAATATTTATCAGGATTCCACCAGTAAGAGGGACATGAAGTAGAGCAACAAGCACACAAAATGCACTCATATAAACCATCCAATTTAGAACGATCTTCAACAGATTGCAAATACTGTGCCTTACCCTTTTTCTCCACAGCCACATTTCTATAAATAATATTTATGAATAAAAACTTTTGTAAAATTAAATGTCGCACTTACTTGCGTTGTAGCCAAGGTTGTATGGAGCGGTACTGATCGTAGAAGTTGTTCATGTCAGGCACCAAATCACGTACCACATACATATGCGGTAGAGGATAAATCTTCAGGGGTTTAGACGTATTGGTGTCGATTTTGCTGCAATTGAATTTTTCAAAATTTTAATGCTTTTCTTTACTACTTTGTTTATAATTAATTTACTAATTTATTTATTATTATTTTTATCAGCTAACAGAAATTTTTTGTTATCGCAAATACTTTTGCACAACCATATAATACCAATAAGTCTTGAAAAGCACCGATAAATGATATAAAGCGGTATAATACAAGTAGCAACTTGTATTATGTTTCCGCGGATATTTACCTGATGCACGCCAATGTATTGGTGCCAGCAATATTCATGGCACAGGAGCCACAAATGCCTTCCCTACATGAACGCCTAAAAGTCAACGTGGGATCCACTTCATTTTTGATCTTAATCAAGGCGTCCAGCACCATAGGACCACATTCTCTCAAGTTCACTTCATAAGTTTGCATGTGAGGTTTGTCACCAGGTGTGTCTGGATTCCAACGGTAGATTTGGAAGGTTTTGATTTGTGGCGCCTTCGCTTCCTTCGGTTGAGCCTGCTGTTCCAGATGACTACCAGAAGTTAATGAACGTAACTAAAAATAATGCAGTGTACATTAATATTTAAATAATATTTACATTCATAAATTAAAAAGTCTTTTGGGATATTTTTATATACTACGCAAAACAAAAACTAATTAATTTATTTGCTTTTACGTAATCAACATTTCATGTGGCAAATGGAATTTTTTCAATTTAATTGAAATATATCAAAAAATAAATTATTGCTAAACAAAAATCATTATGTAACAGCATCAAATTATTTAATTATATTTTCTCGCGTGATGTGGTAATTCTCGTTTCAGGAGGCGTGGTTGTTACCTGGTGTCTTGCCGCCAGCGCACCCGTCCGGTTGAGTAAAATTCTAGCTTCCTGCACTAAAGCCATTTAATAAAATTTGATTTTCGTATGTCACAATTTAAAAAGGAAATTGAAACGTCACTGCGTTTGCAATTTAATTTGCAAAAAAAATCGTTATTTAGAATAATTTTTCTGTTAGCAAAAACACTTGCAGCTGTTGGCCGCGGTGGTCAATTAACAAAACAGGGTTGCTAAATTTGTAGCTGTCAACACACAAAAATCAATAAAAACAACAGAACTATGAGTGATATGAGAGGCGAAAACAATGAGGAATTGGCAGCACTAATTTTAAGCTTGAAAAGCGGGAAAATGTTTTAGTTTTAAAAATTTTTAAAAATAAATAGAAAAAGTTTCTATAATTTAAAGTGTTAATTGATTGATTTAGTGCCATTTCATATAAAAAGTTATGGCATTCTATTCTTCAACTCTCCAAACTGCAGTATATGCAAAATTTTGCTTACATTTTGATTTTGATAATTCTCAACAGTTAAAAGTAGGTTTTTCTATAAAATAAATTACTCTTCTGTTAAACTGAAAGAACTTTTTTTATTATTTCACTTTATAATTTATCACATAAAAAAATTAATATTATAATTGATATATTAAATTATTCATAATCATTTTATATATCTATTACATATACAATTAATGAAAACAAAGATTTTATTAAATATTTACTTCCTTAGTGCCTTTGTTTACAGCTTAACTGTTATTTATTCACATTTTACATACAAAATACATGACAAATATTTCAAATTTTCGTGACTTCTCTTGTAGGCAATTTATTTTTAAAGTTGCGTTTGACATTTGACATTGACATTATTTATAATGAGCTTATTGATATGAAAGCACTTTGTATGGTAAATTTCCCTTATTAGCGGTCATTAATAATCTAAACCGCCTAAATGAGCCAGTGTGAATGTACTATAAGATTAATTACACAAACTAAGCTAATATAAAAATTAATTTCATATTATTTTTGTGTAAGTTTTAGAATCAGAAAAAGACAAAGAAGCAACTGAGGTTTTTAAAAACTTGTCCTCATGAACTTTATAGAAAGAAATAAAGAATTTTGCAATGACAGTTACATTTAAATTTTATGTAATAAGAAAAGTAAGTTTTCGATTGGTAAATTTTGATTCAATCTAGATTTACTCTAGATCTGTCAAATTTTGTTACCCAATCGAACATTTTTATGGTAGTCTAATATTTTTGTAGTTGTGTTAGTAAATAAACTAATTGAAGTATAATACTCACACTAATTTCTTTTTATGTGTCTTTGTACACAACATTCACGACAAAATATTCAATTTTACTTTTTTACGGTTTTGCAAATCGTATAAAGTTAAAAAAATAAGTCTTCATCTGAAGATTCGTCGCCTGATGGCATTAATTTTTTCAAAATGACAGCTAAATATATAAACAAACAAATTGGATAGATGCGGACACAAATCACCCTTTTTTATCTGTCAAATCATATAAAACAACTGTTAAGTTCAGAGTAATATTGCTACTCTAGCAAAATATCTATAGCGTTTTCCATTGATAAATGTGGGTTAATTTTTTTAATCGACATAATTGGCATTTGCGGAATAGCATTTTACAAGAAAGTATAAACTGCGATAAGAAATGAGTTATTTTTTCACGGTCTCGTCAAATTTAAAATTGTTGTTTTTAATGTTGAATATTGCTCAATAAACAATATTGTTCAGTAATAGATGCTATAATTGGCGCTCTATTAGGAGTAAAGATGCGTACTTTTGTGTGGATATGGAAGTATTTCCACAAAAAATTAATTACATTCAAATTTAAGTAAGAAAAAAAAAACAAAAAAATGAAGCTGAAGGTAAATAAGTGATAATTATGATATAACTCTATATAACATGCATTTTGATAACGATCAATACAAGTGTAAAATAGCCGAGATTATTCGGCATTTGGCTGTCATTATAACACGCCGTTTAGTTGCACCTTTGCAGTGCAAAATAAAGCTGGCGGATTATCGATATAGGTAAGAAATCTAATACAATTGTGAAATTAATTGTTAGTCTAAAATTCTTAGGCAAAGGTGAATCACACAAGTGGCAACAATAAAAAAAATAAGATTAAAATTAGAAAATATAACACGAAAAGGTAAGAAATAATTACATAAAATACTTTTACTTTTAATATAATAATAAATGGAAAATGTTTAATTTATATTAATACGGAAAATCAGTGATCACCGCCATTTTGGAGCCAACGTGTTGGTACACTTTTAATACAATTTCATGCTATATAATCATATAGATCTTAGTATACTTATAACAATAAATATTACTTTTATTAGAATTAATTATATATTGAATATAAAATTTCTTTGAACTAAAAAAGTTATATTTCAGAATATTTGTTTCGCAAAAGTTTTCGTCTTTTACGGCCATATTTAGAAAACAGGGTTGTTAAGACGCCATTAAACGAAAGTTATCGCAAAGAAACAAAGGTAAAATTTTTATTTGTGAAGTGAATAGCATAATTATTCTTGAGTTTTAAGAAAACCGTAAAAGTGCATTCATTAATATTAAAAGCCGAGTAATTATTAATCCCAGGTAATAATCCACAAAGTTATGCTATATTTATTGTGTTCTATATAATATAAATCATAAAACTATGTGTAAAATATCGTGTTCATAAGTAATATATAAAAGACCGTTTTGAGTTTTTAGAATTTAAAACAGGCGTAATAGACTCAATTTTATTAAAATGTGAGGTATTGTATTGGTTTTAATTTCATCCGTTGCGACAGCCCTTTTAATACTGAGACTTTAATTTGTGCGTATGTAAACTGCCGATGCCGTGACAAGTGAACGCTGCTTCAAGTTTTCGTCTTCAAGAATATTTGGGTTAGGATATCCCTAATAGATATCACTAATATTTCACTATAATATTAAAGTTGCGATTAGAATTTAATATATCTTCTTCTTCTTATTTGGCACAACAGTTCAGTGTAAATTTAATATATACATATATATGATTTTTGGTATTATCCGTCCTATTCTATTGTGTTATTGTCATGTCATTGGAAACTTTATATATGTTAGCAGATAAGAATAAAAGCAAAAAAACGTGTTAATGTGGAAATGGTCATAAAATAAGGAGATCCTTTTAACGACGAGATCCCTTTAAGAAGACTTACATTTTAAACTAGTGAATCCAGAATTGTAATTCATTAATCTCTGTTGAATATCACACTAAACACTATGACCTGAGTTCGCAATTTCTCAGTATATCATTGAAAGATTTGCTTTAGGATAAAATTAGAACATACCGACATATATGTACATACATGGGTTGACATGGGTCATTATTGAACTTATAGACAACATAATATTTATCGACTTAATATTGACTAACGACGACTCTCCACTCATTACAGATTAAATGCTGTCATATATATGAGGATCATAACACTATCTTTTTTGGTATTAATATTATGCGCCTGGTTCACTTAGGAACCCATGTTCAGTAGATCAGTATTCTTCTTACTACAGACAACACTTCAGTCATAAGAAATTACTCATTCACATCGTGTGTATAATATAATATATTTTGTAATCAACCTTACGAAATCGCCGGTTATTTTTTCTCTAATCATTTATTGATAATAAATATTTTTCATGTCTGGACGTCAATTGAAACCACAATTAATGTTTGCATTCGAACGCCGAATACTTTTTACCTAACCTAATATTTATAATGTAGCTAATTGACTATTGAAATTAATTATACTTATATAAAAATAAATATATAAATATATTATGTAAAATAATTGTTTGGTTCCAAATTCATTTCGTCTTTAATCATTAATCGCAGTAACAACTTATGTTTACATTCGAATGCCGAATACTTTTTGCCTACTTACTTGTTTGGCCAAAACAACCCGTTACTCGGTTTTGGCCTGACGCAGCATGTCTCTCCAGGCACCTCTGTTGCGTGCACGCCTTCTCCAATGTCGTACATCAAGTCCGGTTAGTGCTTCATCAAGTTGATCATTCCACAAGAAACACGATCTACCTCTACGCCTTCTTTCTCCAATTACTGCTTCAAATGACTTTTTTCGCTGAAGCATCTTTATCAATTCTCACGACATGACCAAGCGAGCGAAGCCGCTGGATGTTAATTCGCTAAATTATATCAATGTCGCGAAAAAGATCGTATAGCTCGCGGTTAATTCGCATGCGTTAGTCTTACGAAGAAACACTCCCAGTGCCGCTTCATTATTTTGTGTAAACGTCCATACTTCTGTGCCATACAGAAGCACAGGAAGGATGAAAGACCTATAGAGCGTGCGTTTTGTTTGACGTGCTAGAGCATTAACAATTGCCAACTAAACCCATAGTAGCATTTATTAGTGATTCTTCTTCTGATCTCCAGGCTGACATCGTTGTTGTTCGTCACGGCGGTGCCAAGGTAGTCAAACCCTTAACATATTCAAAAGTATAGTAGTCAGTTAAAAGCTCGGCGTTCCTACGATGCACAGAGATAAGTAGACGACATATACTTCGTTTTGTCCTCATACTTTTAGGCTTTTTGACTATTGAAATTAGTAATATAAAAAAATAAATACTATTTCTTTTATTTTTATAAATAAAAATAAACAGTAACCACAATTTATGTTTGCATTCGATACAGCTTGCTTTCCATTTCTTCCGCAATTTCCTTTCCATTCCCTCGGCATATTGGCAATTACAAATCGTTTATAATTTCCTGCTGTTCTTATTTGTTTCAAATTATTTAAAATATTTTTAATTGCACAAAATAGTAAAAACAGTTGCTGTGTAATTTTTCCCAAACGATTTTCCTTTTTGTATTTTTCCCTTCACAATTTTTTTAAAATTATTTTTTATTGTTTTGAATAAATAAAAGCTCTGCCAAACAAAGGAGAATGACACGCCCCATGGTTTCTGCGTTATTCCTCTGGGGACTGAAATCATTTGCATTGCATTATAAAGAACTTGGCTCCGGCATAATATTTAATACTTCCGGAAATGGTTTCCCAACGGCAGCAGCGAAACTATGACTGACGCCGCCATTGAAGGAAGTTGACAAAAGAAGTTACGCAGCAAGACTTCAATTGAAACCATGAAATGAAATCCTTCAAGGAGCAAAATGGCACTTGTTGAAAGTAAGCGCTAAGATGCATTGCTTAAGTTGGAAACAATTTCAATTTGAAATTGAGAATTGCAAACCAAAACTGCATTCTTCCATTTCTATTTCCGAATTTCAATGCACTTCAATTTAACAAGGATTAGAATCCTAAAAGCTAAATTCTATCTTATTAACAATCTGGTGGAAGGTAATATTCTAATTTTAGAATACGATGGAAATCTGTTACTTTTAAGATGAACTTAAAGCTTTCAAATAATTGAATTTATATACTCAGTTGTAATCCAAATACTACTATAAAAATTTTTTTTAATAGTTTTTTAAATAGAAGTGCATACATCCGTTAAAATCTATGCTAGAGAACATTAACAAGACAATTCTCATTGTCATATTATCTTTTTATTTATTTATTATTCATTTAAATTGTCCTTACTGAGTCCTTTATGTGCTGTCTTCTTTGTAATAAAAGATGGGAAGGCTCAACGATACATGTGAGTCCCCTAGGGATCGCCTAACTAACCTAACCTAACCTACAAAAATTATAGTATTTTACCTAAAATCGCAATTGACAATAACAAATCTATTGTGTGTCAACATTTTCATTGTTATATATTTAAATATTTAAATGAAAATAAGATATCTAATCTGGTACAAATAAATCCAGTTACTCTAAATTGTTCAGCTTCAGAAATGTTATAGCCGGTATAGTTGGTAAAGATTAAGTAATACTTGTGGCTATTCCTTGACAGAAAAAATTTAAAGATGTTACAATATCTGACAAACTTGGAAAACAGTTTTCAAAAAATCTTGAAACAGTGTTTTAATTGGAGCATCTCTATAGAATACTCTCCTTGCAGAAATCATGTATATATAATCTATTTGTAAAAAGAAAAAAAACAAGCTTTCTAATTTTGGAACCATTTATATATAGAATTAAAACAATTAGAACTCGCATTAAGTTAATAAAAGCATAATTATAACTTCAATATGTTTTTATAAACTATTCTAAAGATATGTACAAACCTGGAAACGATTTTAGCACCATAATCTGAACAACAAAGATACAAATTTTGTGTATCAGATACTCCACACATTATCAATATCATACACCCCTGTCTGGATTGATTTGAGTCAGGTAACGATTCTAGTTCCATAGTCTGACCAACAAAAGCCACCGATTTTGTATATCAGATACTACACACATTAGCAATATCATACATCCCTGTCTGAATTCAATCAGATCATGAAATGATTTCAGCACCATAGTCTGACTAACAAAGGTACAGATTTTGATATCAGATACTACACACATTATCCATATAATTCATCGCTGTCTGCAGTAAATTGGGCCAGGAAACGATTCCAATACTATAGTCTGACTAACAAAGGTAGAGATTTTGCATAACAGATACTATACACATTATTAATATCATTTATCTTGCTCTGGATTTAATTGGGTGTATCAAAATTAAGGTGGCGGTGTACTTGGTTATTGTATTGTAACTTCTAATCATTATATTATAAATCATTTCTCTTATTTTTTACAGATTTTAAAAGAAAACATGAAAATGATAAAAGAAACCGTTAAAGAAGACCGCACTGATGCAATAGATTGTAATGCCGATCGCACCATACCTTGTGAACTTACAGATTCTGTTGGAAAGCATGTTATGGGTAAGTAAGTATGGGTTGTTGGCATTCCAGTAGAAGACATTTGCCCTATAAGTATTGTATTCGATCCAAGTTTTGAATATAAATCTGAAGTCAGTGAAAATGTAGAGATTAGAGTAAATAATCAATATTTTACAGTCACCCCAAAAACAGGTGTTCGTCCTCTAAGTGATACGTCGCAATTTTCACGGAATTCAAGTGTTGACAGCTTTTATGATTGTTTTGAAATAGGCGAAGTTAGAGTTTCGAATGAAGTTTCAAACAATCATATAGCATACAGAGAATATAAAGAGGCTGGAGAGTTTTGGAGGTTAGTTAACATTATAGTTAGCAAACATCATATATAATTTTAATAATACATATATTCTTTCTTATGTTAAAATATGTTTGTGTGCTATAGGAAAACTCCGAAAACTGATTACACTTATTCTCCATTGTCACCACATCGCAGAGCTTTAGGCAATGGATATATTGGTATGCCGAATTTATCACGTCGTGGCTTACGTGATGATAATGTGGTTATAACAAGCCAACCTAAAAATTATGTTAAACCTGGCCGTTGGTTCAATCGTGGTTTTTTAAAATTCTTCTTCGGCCTTTTGTTTATGGCTTTCATTGGTTTTTTTGCTGGTAATTAATTAAGCATTTTATTTTTAATTTTTATTTTTTACAAAATGAATATAATTAATTTTTTTTTATTTTATGTAACTGCACAGTAATGTTAGTATATTTCGATACATCTGGATTAAAAGGATATATACTAAAAAAATCTGAAGATTTTATCAAAGGGGAGAACCCACAAATATACTAATAAATGTTTGCTACTTTTTATAAATACAAACAAGTTTATTTTTTTTTTAATTAATAAATTTGTTAATTTAATTATGTAGTTCGCAAAAAATTTTTTAATTTTTTTAACTTCAAATAATTATAATTTTTTTATTAAAATTATAAATAAAAAAAAGTATAAATAGAAATATGTTCATGAACTTTATATATAAAAATATAAAGAATAGCAACTCACAAATTTGCCAAAATTAAATGTCGAAGAGGCAAATAAAAATCTGTTAATAACATTCAAATCAGAGTGTCTGCCTTTAACCTATCGCCCACCTTCTCTGAGTGCTATGGAA